CTTTCCTCTCTTTCACGATCCGATTGGCATTCACAAACTGCATATCGTCACAAGTTGCATATCGTCCTTGCTTGTTGGTCGGCCTTCATCATCACCAGTCCTGCTCATTTACAATTGAATTGGAAACCGTCATGCTCGGACTATTTTGATATAGAGGGAGATTGGGAAATGATAGGCGCCGACCTAGGATTTATACCCTAGATCCGAACAAGTTGAATCGGCCCTTGAAGGTGGAGGACGTCGATCGTTGGAGAAAAGAAGGTATTCCTTTTGTTTGTTATGTTCCGTTTTGATCGTTGGATTATTATTATTATTGTTGTTGTTGTTGTTATTATTATTATGGTTATTAGTATTACTCTATAATTTAAGGAGCACACACTAATATTTTATATATAGACCCCAAACTTCAAATTAATCAGAAAGCAATTGCTCATGCATCGCACGGGTGAAGTACTAGTTCATTTCAAAATCCATTACAATTTCAAACCAATTCCAAAATTTGTTGCTTAGAAAAATTACTCCAAAATTTGAGAAGTATTCAGTGTCTTTTTTCAAATTTTAACTATACTTTTTAACATGAAAGTTGTAGAAACTTGGCCAAATTCATCACGCAGCCACCTATCGTAGCCATGTGCCACATTGCTAGACAAATACTTGTATAGATAAATTTATATTATTAGATATATTTCGTAGCAAATTTAAGATTTTGCCATACCCACCTAGTAGGATAAAGCTTTGTTATTTATTTCACATGAAAAATTTATAAAGGACTTAATTAGGAGGTAGAATATAGAGAAAATATTAGAATAAGAGTTTTATATTTTTATTTCCAAAATAGAATTACAATGTCAATAGTGTCAATATATAGTACCAACAAATAAAGTGATATGACATAATGTCATAGTGTAAATTTCTATTCTAAAGATAAAAACATAGAATTCTTATTTTGAAGATAAATGCTACTTGCTCCGTCCAAGTGTATTTATTCTGTTTGATTTTTTTGAGACTTCCATAATGAACTTTGAACTTCAATTGCCCTCAAACTGTAATTGAGACAACCATGATGAAGTTAATGCTACTCCCTACGTCCAATTTAGTATACAAATGATATAATCATATTTATCTTTTTAAGAATTTTCAAGATTGTATTTTATTATACGAATATGCAATGCAAATTGAGAGTAATTGAAGTTTAAAGTTTGTCCATTTTGATTCAAAAAGGTCAAATTAGACAAATATACTGGGACGGAGGTAGTATGTTTTACTCCTATTTGGAGTAATTTCTTAAATTTATTTCATTGTACAAATATGCAATGTAATTTTAATGTAATTTACAATTAAAATATCTTCTTTTTTACTAGAAATCATTTATTTAACTTTTACTCTCTAATTATTTTTCCAAGTGTTCCAACATTTGATAATAGTATTGAATTGTGTTTGTCAATTTTGTTTAATTTGACTAAAGAATGTTAAATTTGATAAGACAGGAATACTCCGTAATATATATATATATATATATATATATCACATTCATATGTATCTCATTAGTACACCTCTGCGCGTGCTTCCCTTTTTTTGGTCATTCTTATATCTTGCCAGGGTGTAGTTAGTGTTTCATTTCAATATTTGATACACAGAATACAAAGGATTACCGTAGAGAGATCAAATTTCATAAATGGCTCTTATTTTGTGCGAGTTTGCTAGGTGAGTGATTTTGTCCCCACTTTTTTGAATGGATTGAGCTATTTGTATCCCACGATTTGGGTCCCAGGTGTACACCTTCATTTTGTGTCAATGTGATGCTAAGATGATGGTTCAAGCACGTACAAAAGGTTAATTTTTATCGTTATTAATTTTTTTCCCTTTGATATTATAACAGATTATTGCATCCAAAAACAAAAGACAATTACTTAAAAAACTCATATATTACATGAATAAAAAAAAGTGCGCCCATGCATTATTTAAGCAAAAAAACATTAAAAAAACATGGTAGAGATAAAAAGAGAAAAGGATTAGAATAGAAGTAAAACATTGAAAATAAACTAAAATAGTAGTTCCATGTTTTTTATTCTTAAATATGAGATAAACTGTATTTACAATGCCATTCTTGATGATGTACATTACCAATAAGTATTGTAAAATGAAGTTTCCATTTTGGTAATTTCTCTATATTTCACTCCTATTTTGGGTGATTTTTAAATAAAAACATATCAAATATAAAAAGTCTATGCACGATCACGTTGGGCCTCATAATTCTTTTCTTATTTTTTGTTTGTCATCTCGATCAAGGCAATATCACGTTCCTCTATGCCGCCTTACTTTGTGCCTAGGAATGACATGTCCATCACCATTTCATAATTTCTTTTTATTTCGATGGAAGCCTTTTTCACCACCAAAAACTCGTTTGTTAGAGTGGATAAGACCTACAACTCCTTGTAATCGCCTTCATCCTTAGAACCCAAAGCGACTTTCTCCTTGTCGCTCTCCTTCGCCTTTGACTAATCTCGTCCCACCAGCCTCGACACCTCTTGGACATAAACCTCATAGTCCTCTTCCTTATGGCTGATGTTGACGTAGCAGTGGGCAACCAACCCTTGACTTTTTGTAAAAGAGTCATTGGATGATGAAGTTTTTGGTCGCTTAGATGGTGGAAAGGGTGCCGTTTCTTGCCAACGCATAGACTGACACATAATCTTCCAAACTTTGATATGACCAAAAGCATGGCCCTCGATGCGCTTGAACTCTTAATGTGCAACGTTGATGATATTCTATTCACTTTAACTACTTTTTTTATTGTTTGTGTGGTGGATGAAGTTGGATGAACTTTCAAATTTTTTATTCAAGTCACGACGCTCCACTTACTCATTAACATGTCTATTGGATGATAGTTCTCCCTGATTTTAGATGAAAATGTTTGTGGATGCAATCCCAAAAGTTGCTCGATATCTGATTGTAGGCTAGGAATGTTTATTAAAAAATACTCCCTCCGTCCCATAATATAGTGCCTATTTTGATTTTAGGCCATATTTAAGGAAGGAGAAAATTAGGGTTGACTTTCCCAAAATGCCCCTAACTTAATTTTTTAAATATTTGAAGCTAAAAATGAAATAATGAACAAACAAAAAAATCAAGAACAGTTCCAGCTACACATACACGCACATCACAATAAAATATCCAAACAAATCATTACATTCACCAAATCCATCACCAAATCGGAGTATGTGTTAGTCAAAAAAAATTTAAAAATTGTTCCAAAAAAATTTATAAAAAATTTATATCCATCGCCTTGAATTGGATCCTTCGACACATCGATCCAACTTTTAGCCAATGCAGTCTCCTCTTCATCTACTAAAGAATTATTGTTCTTTCCGTCGGCACTGGCTCCGCAGGTTTGGAAGTGGAGTCTTTTTTTCTTTGAAGTCTTTTTCTTCTTCGCGGACTTCGCCGTAGGCCGGGTAGCTTGGTCATGGAGAGATTGCGTCTCCAGCATGTAATGAGGTTGCCTCTTTGGAATAAAATTTAGAAACGTTAAACCTTGAGAGCCATCCGAGAAGTTCAAGGATGGAGTCCAATACTCAAATCCCTCGGAAGTTGGACGGTAACAATTATCGAATATAATCTCGGGATGAATTGAAGGGGAGATTGTTATTGTAAAAATACAGAAGATTAAATTGTTTGGATTCATGGTGTGACTAGAAATATAAAATTTGTAAACAAATATAATAAAAATTGAGATAATGAAAAAATGATTCTGCTTGAAAATGGTTAGAATAGGTTTTTTATAAATAAAAGAGGAAGGGAGGATTGAATAAGATAAGAACCGGACCGTAGCGGTAGATACCAAATCGGACCGAATAAAGGAGATTTATATTTTTTACATAGGTTTTGTAATGTTCTTTTATTTTTCAATTTATTTTGGTAAACAATTATTATTTTTTACTATTTCTCTTTATAGGGTTTTTAACAATGATTAATTTTGTTGGTTAAGCTTTACATAAGTGTTAAAGTACAAACTTGAGTTATCTTTAGATATCATTAGAATTAAGATCTTTTTTTAAAAAAATGTTAAAAAATACTGTAAAAAGTGCCATTTGAAAAATCTTTAGTCTTAAATTAGAGTAACATTAAATGTAAAAAATTTTCTTAAATTTATATATTTTAAAATTATATACATATAAAATAAAATATTTTTTTAAAAAATAAAATCTAACTAATCCACAGGTTTGGACCAAAACCCGGTAGTCCGGATTGGAGCGAGATCAAATAAGAAAAAGTTGAGCTCCACACACCAGACCAAAAAGAGACTGGTTCGATTTTGATCGGGCTTCGGGTCATTTTGGGGCCAAACCTTACCAAACAATGCACACCCCTAATTTTTCCATATATTAAGCTTAAAAAGACCAATAACAATCCCATTGGATCACACAAAAGTATGGTCTTGAGGATATGTGTATGCAGACCTTATCCCTACTCATCAATATTAAAAATCAATGAATAAAGAATGTGATACAAATCTTGTACGATTCGTATCGGGTTAGGGAAGAGCTTCGAGCATTCTTCAAGCTCCAAGAAAGGGGAGGCAAAGAGAGAAGGAACACTTCGAGCGTTTCTGGGCTCCAAGAAATGAGAGACGAGAGATTAGGGTTTTGATATTCTTCTTGATTATTGATTGATTGAATAATAATAAAGAAGGATTACAATATATAGAGAATGCAAATAACCCTAATTGACCTAATGGGCTCGAGCCCATACTAAAACCCTAAACCATTAGTAAATAATAATAAATAACTACTAAATAATAATATAACTAATTAAAATTTTATACTTAACTATTCGTATCATTCTCACCCCCTTAAAATTCAACTTGTTCTCATGGTGGAGGCTCCCACTCGTGCTTTAAGATTGGAGAAAGAATGCTGAACCAAATGAGTAGTCCACTCTTTGAATCTTCAACTATCTTGGATCTTGGAGCAAACCGATGGACATGCGAGATAGAGCCAATACCACATGTAGGCTCTCTTGGTGAAACTAGGTGTTTTGTCTTGACCGCATCAACAATGTCAAACAACTTAATAGTGTCAAATGAAATGGGGTTACCCGCTTGCTTATTATCTGCATCCGCCACCTTGTTCACACCTTCTAGAAGGGCAAGCTCAACAACGACCACACAAGTTGAGGCATTGACCGGATCATAACATTTACGTGATGGAAAATCTAAGGTGTCCACATTAACAATATCTTCTAAAATATCTCTTTTATTATTCCCCATGGCGTTAGACCTCTCTTCATCTTCATTCATGAGTTCACGCCCACTTCGTCCCCAACATGCGGTTCTACGCTTGACTCGTTCTTTGCTTCCTTTTCATGAGACTCAGTGTTTTGTACGATGATCATATGAGTCAAATTGGGTAGAGAAAGTGGGGCACTGGTGAGGTTCCGGATGGCGTCCACCATGTTTGTTTTGAAATTTTATAACTCCAAGGGAATCAAAATCGACAAAATTGAGGGACCACAAACAAAATCCTGTATCCTGCAAGAAATTTCAATGTCAAATGCATGTAAGTCTGAATCATAATTTAGCTGACCTTCAATAGGACGAAATGAATGAAGATTCGTTATCATTTCATCAATGTAATCGTAAAGTGCACACTCCTTCGTCATGCTCAATTTCCCATAAAGAACATTTTCTAACAAGTCAAGGAGTCTATCTAACATGCAGTGCATAATCATAAAATTTGCCCCCATGTATTGAAAAAGTGAATCTCACGAAAAAGTGAATCTCACGCGATTAGACGTCCATTGCAAATATGCAATCTTTGTTTGTGACTTTGTTTCCTCAATCACAACCAATCTGCGAAAATGACCTTTTTGCAAATTCACAAACAGTTTGGCTACCCAACTATATGGCGGCTGCAATAAATCTGTTTCTCTCTCTTTACTCGATAATCAAAATTAGACCAAGGAAAAACTATGAGTTTTTTTATTGGTGTTTCTCTCAATGAAAGCACCAATTGATACATATACTTAATTTGAATATTTTAATTGGTTATATTATTATTTAGTAGTTATTTATTATTATTTATTAATATTTTATATATTAGGGTTTATGTATGGGCCTCAGCCCGTTAATTCATGTAGGTGTGGTGTTTCATCGCTATATATTGTAATCCCGTATCATTATCATTCAATCAATTAACAATCAAAATTCTCTTAATCTCTCGTCTCTCTTTTCCTGGAGATCGAAAATACTCAAAGTTTTCCTTCCCTCTTTGCATCCCCTTTCTTGGAGCTTGAAAACGCTCAAACTTCATTCATATCCCATACAAATCGTACAAGATTAGTATCAATTGGTGCTCTCATTGTATTGAACCTACCCAAAAAACAAAAAAAAATCCAAAAAAAACCATGGTTGTAGCTGCCCTAACCCGTTTCAGAAACCAAGCCCATATTCTTTGGCGCCGACGAGAGAGTGCTCCATGCCACCGCCGTGGCAAACCACCACCATATAGCAGGAAAATCATCCCTTGTTGCCTCCAAAGTCGGATGCATCGAACTATGCTAGGATAACCCTAACCATAACCTCAAGCGTTGCACATATAATATTATCCTTTGTATGGTCCTTACAAAACTTGGAGTCATGGTTGTTTTCCTAACTTTATTGATATGTCTTGCTACCTCTCTCACATTTGCTTTGATGGGATACT